ATAATAATCTTGTTTATTACCTAATATTATTATTGTATTTAAATGTATACATGTAATATGTATATATTTAATAATCATTTATTAAATAAATTACATATATTCCATTATAGTAATATTTAATAATAATAACCCTGTTTATTACCTAATAATATTATTGTAATTAAATTTAACATTTAACAAGTCTTTATTTAATAATAATGTATTAAATAAATTACATATATTTAATATTAGTAATAATATGTATTATTATTATTTTCATCATCATTTCTTCCTGATGCATGCTGAAAACAATTCCACAGAATCCCACAGATTCCAGATTAAACCAGTTGTGGGTTGATGAGAAAGGGGAACTTAAAGTTCAACTAAGAGCTGTGTCATACTTTATCTTTTTATCAATCTGTGGGCAGTGCTGTGTTTCAGTGTGCGTCACTCTGGACAGTGACCCTTCCAGTGAATCAAGAGTAAACACAAGGCACAATCACACCCACAGCTCTCTGAACTGTCACATTAATTTAAAGTAACTATATTTCACGGTTAATTGCATTTTCATTAGACTGATACAATTGACACAATCTTATTAAACTATGAACTTACAACTGACAAAATCAGTACTGAATGAAGATGAGTAATGCAGATGGGTTCTGAGGCTGTCCTGATTGCTTCTTGGCACTAAATTCTTCCTTGGAAATCAAATGTCAGCCTATGGTGTTAATGTCTGTCAGTATGTGCAGTAAGATGGAAAAATGTCCCAAAGATAGACTTTGTAGGAATATGCTATTCATACTCTTGGTCCTGTCTGGCTGGCTGAGTTCTGCTTTTTTCGAATAAAACGGCAGAAAATATATTTTTAGGCTATTCATGATACCTGTTTAGAGGACTTCTCCATTATAACCTGGTATTCTTTTGTCTTTATTAAAACTGTTGTGTTTGCAGTACTTTTTAAACTGCAATATAGATTTAGAGCTTCTTAAACCAGGCATATTGTGGTAAAAGTGTCCCTCCCTTGTGTTTACTCTCAGAGTGGATCTCCACAGGCCGTGATAAACAGTGAAAACTGTGTCATGCATTCTGCTGATTAAAGTTCAGTCTCAAGATATTTCCTGCAACTTCATTTAACTGGTAGCTGGAGTGCTGTCCTCTTGAGGTTATTCTGTGCCATATTTATCTAATTCTTCGCCTATTATAATTGGCCTTCAGTATTTTTGAAAATGTAAAGCCATGCACACTTTGACATGTGGCACCACATTTTAAAAAGGTCAAAATCACAATAAACATTTTAGAGGCAATATGAAATTGGACCTGGGGGGAAAAAACAAAGGAAAACCAGTGTTTTAAAGTCAGAAAATGGGGCAAAACCTCATTAAACATACTGGTTTTATGTTGTCAGTAAAACATTCCAGTTGCCTTATTTTCTTATAGTCTGAATCAACTGAGATTGGACTGTGTTTGATCGTCTTGATGCATTTCAATATGTCTGGTTTGATTAGACTCTTGGTAATCTGTAAATGATTAGTTTTGTACAGTCAATGATGATTAGTATAGTCTAGTAAAATAGATTTGACTGGTTAATCCAAAGGGGGGATATGGGATCTGTACAAAATTATGCACATGCCTCCACCTTCTGGACAGTAAAGGATTTTCACCTTTTGTATGTAGTGTAGTTTTACAGTGTAGTTTTTTTCCCTCCACGGTTTTAGTGAGAACAACACTTTTTTGCTAAATATAGTTGCTGAAAAAATATTATGGAAAACAAATCGTATCGATTACGGTATCCAAAAGAAAATACATTGACTTAAACTGCATGGATGCAAATCCACTGAGAATAAAATGAATTTGTTTTATGTTCCACAGAAGAAAGAAAGCGATGCACATTTGGAACGATTCAAGAGTAAATGATTTTTGGATGAACTATCCCTTTAACTATGTGGAAAATCATTGATTTATCCGTCCGCCTGTCCATCAGTCGTAATGAGCAAATTGTTTCAGTCCAGTCCTCCGTGAATTTACTTCAGCTTTTGAATCGACTCGGAGCCAATAAATACAAAGTAACCACAGCCCTCAAAACGATGAAATGCTCCAACTTGCAGCTGCCAGCATATGGAAGAATTTTAGCCTCAAAGAACTCTAGGATTCTCCGGGAATGAGTAAAAACAAACAAGTTTACAAGCGGATCTATGTAACAAATGACACTGGATGACTATCACGGTCTATTTAGTGGCTTTTTACCAGTGCATTTTGCAATGGTCAAATTAAATGAGGTAGCCAGTTCATCTCAAGAAATAAAAGCCAGACAGACTTGCAAAAGCATCTAGAACAGGGATCCTCAAATCTGGCCCACGAGATCCACTTTCCTGCAGAGTTTAGCTCTAACCCTAATCAAACACACCTGAGCATGCTAATCAATGTCTTCAGGATCATTAGAAAATCACAGGTAGGTGAGTTTGATCAGGGTTGGAGCTAAACTCTGCAGCGCATTGGACCTCCAGGGTAAGATTTGAGGAACCCTGATCTAGAACAACATACAACACGAATCCTTGGTTTTATCTGCTAGATATAATGAACATTTGGTGTATTGGTTGATGATGTCCAACTTAAGGAAATTAACCATGGTTTTTAGTCAAAATGTAGTAATGTTTTACTACAAATACCATGGTTAAACTACGGTTAGCGTAGCAAAACCATGGTTAATTTGTGGTTACCATGGTTTAACTATAACCATGTTGTTGTTTTGTAGTAAAATGATGGTTAATTTAGTAAGGGCCATTAAAACTGAACAGTTTACATCACTGCCATGGCTGAAACTAGCCAAATTACTTTATTGTAGTTAATAGAGATTACAGACCCAGATAGCACACGTACATCTGCAAGATGTCTGTTAAAGATCTCTTGATCTGGAAAGCATCTGCGGGGTGTGCAAACATCTGACAGACGTCTTTAAGATGTCAGTTTTACATACATTCTAAATCATAAACATCTTAAAGACATCTAATACAGGTGCATCTCAATAAATTAGAATGCTCCATGCCACGCCCAATTGAGGCAGTAATTAAAGCAAAAGGAGCCCCTACCAAGTACTGAGTACATGTACAGTAAATGAACATACTTTCCAGAAGGCCAACAATTCACCAAAAAAAATGTTTATTTGTCTTATGAAGTATTCTAATTGGTTGAGATAGTGAATTGGTGGGTTTTTGTTAAATGTGAGCCAAAATCATCACAATTAAAAGAACCAAAGACTTAAACTACTTCAGTCTGTGTGCATTGAATTTATTTAATACACGAGTTTCACAATTTGAGTTGAATTACTGAAATAAATGAACTTTTCCACGACATTCTAATTTATTGAGATGCACCTGTATACAGTAGGTCTATTTGACATCTGATAGGAAACGTCCAATAGACGTATTGCAGATGAGCAAACACAAAAAATACATCTTGTATTATGTGTAGCCTACTCCACAAATTCAATTCATATGACAGAACGATGTTGGCTTCTCACACATGACATTTTCTCATCCAAAACCCTCCATATGCTATTTAAAGGTAAATGTGCTGAATACATTATCAATGGCCCTTGCTGTGCTATTTACATATATTTGAATAATCAATCATGATCAGATGCATAATGAGCTGAACCCTCAGAAATACGGACTCACAGCTGCAATTTGCTACAGAACAACTTAGTCAAACCCCAGTGTTTAAACTGGCTTATTTTGTTAACTAAAACTGCATTTCAATATTATGCCACCTTAATTCTATGTTTTAAGATTTCAATAACTGTATGACTTTCTCAAAGCATGATGAAACCTGCTAAAATTGAGATTTTGAGAAACTTTTCCAGTACATCATCAGGGAACAGTCATCAGATCTGCCATACAAAAGAAACCCCTCCTGGCCCTTCAGAGATCCAGCCACTGTCTGTTGGGAATCACTTGCAATCCATTTTATTTTTAAAGACTGTCTTACGTCATTCCTTTTATCTTTAAAGCCCTATGGGTCCTCTTGCCATGCACATCATTCCAGCAGAATGAAAAACACTGTATGAAAAAGGCCTTTGGGAGACACCGAGAGGTGATTTATGGGGATAGCTTTGTTTCTGTTGTTTGCTTCTCATTCCAGTACAAAAACAACAGTGGCACTTGCTAAATAAGTGTGAATAAGCGTCATATCACTGTAAGTAGAGCATTCATATTGATCGTGTTTGAAGCTTCATGATACTGTAACATAAAGAAAACAGGACTACTAATTGTGTTTGTGTCAGAATTTTATTCTCTAGGATGTCATTTCTAAGACAAAACATTATTTTAATAATAAACAATGCTAGGAACCTATCTTCATTTTTAAAAGTCATTATCGTTTTGGGGATAATTCGATTATTTTGGCTTTTTTAAATGAACCAGTGCACAAATGGAAATCGGCAGCATTCAGTCCTTTATGAAAAGCACTAAAATGACCCCATCTCAGCAAAGTATAGCATGATAGCAGACTATTAACTTTTTCATCTCAGTAATGCTTCCTTATAGTAATCCCTTGGGTTTCTTTCTTCTACAGTCATTGCAAGAGATAGTAAATAGTTCATTTTCTATCTATTCATACAGCAGCTAATGTTGAAAAAGCGTTTGCTGAACATTTCGAACGACACAAGTCTTGTTAAAGTAATGACGTTTTCGAAGAAAGATAGATTAAAAACAATTATTGTCCTTCGGTTCATTACTTTTACTAGTATGCTGGTTGAATTCAGCTTCAAAACTATGACAAAGTCTCATTTTAATATCATCCGAGAGCAATTCTCACAGACTGTACTGTATGTACAAAATAAAACAAGAAAATTCAATACATCTTTAGTGGACTACAGAGAGCTACAACATTTGAATGACATTTTCACTCTAATACAAAATTTTCAGTTCTTACACATAAATTAAAATACATTTAAATGAAAATATTACAATCAAAATCGTTTTAATCACACCAAATTAAAATAAAGCTATAATTGTGTCCATTCGACATGCCTTGAATATATACATTAAAGTGATCAGGATGTGAATGTTTTTTGTGTTTTTTTTCCTTTTATGTACAAATTTAGCAAAATGCACTTGTCCATGATCCATTATCATTGTCCAGGTCTCTGTCTTTACTGGTAGTGTCCATATCGCTGTCATGAACACAGTGGATCAAGAGAACATGAACTGATATCGCTGTCATGTGGTGTCTTAAAGTTGCCTTGACTTCCACAGACAGATCCTCAAATAGTTTCAAGAGTAGAGGGGATATAGGGGAGCTCCATCAAACTTCATTTGTTCTTCAAGCTGAGAAAGAAGCCAAACAGATTTATGACATGGCTAAAATGAAAAGTAAAAAAGTTAACCACAGTTTTTGTGCTATTACATTTACATTTAGTCATTTAGCAGATGCTTTTATCCAAAGCGACTTACAAGTGAGGACAATGGAAGCAATCAAAATCAACAAAAGAGCAATGATATACAAGTGCTATAACAAGTCTCAGTTAGCTTAACGCAGTACATGTAGCAAGGGTTTTTTAAATAATATAATAAATAATATAACAAAATAAAAGGAAAACAGATATTATGAAAATAGCATTTAAATCTTGTTGACGGACTGAATTAGGCATATTTGTTCAGTTTGGCATGCAAGTTGTTCGAAACAAGGTAAAATAAGCTAAGGAAGAATTATCCAGGTGTGCACATCACCAATGGATCCTTTGCAGTGAATGGGTGCTGTCAGAATGAGAGTCCAAACATCTGATAAAAACATCACAATAATCCATAAGTAATCTCCAGTCCTTCAATTAACATCTTGTGAAGTGAAAAAAAGTTGTGTTTATAAGAAACAAATACAAGCTAAAATAAGTGTCCTCAATGTTGCTTCTGCCAATGAAAAAGTAATTTCGTCTGAATCAGGAGAGAAATATGCACAGATCAAGTACTGTTTATGAGTGAAAACCGTTCAAAACAAATATGTCAGTGGATTTTGATGTGGGAAGACAACAGGAGATGTACTTTTTCACTGGAGGAAGCATTATTATAGATTATGGACTCATATTTTAGCCAGAAGCGATGGTTTAATGTGAATGATTAACAGCTTGATGGATTTGTTTCTTATTAACATGCAGCTTTTCACTTCACAAGATGTTACATTAAGTGATGGACTGTTGTCATGTGGATTATGTGATGTTTTTATCAGCTGTTTTGACTTTCATGCTGACGGCACCCATTCCATTAGTGAGTGATGCAATGCTAAATTTTTCCAAATTTGTTTGGATAAAGAAATAAACATCCATATCTTAGATGGCCCGAGGGTGAGTACATTTTTAGCAAATTTTCATTTTTGGGTGAACTATTCCTTTAAAACATAAAACAGCTCCGGTAATGTATCAGCCTCAGGGTCCCGTCCATTGAGGGTCGTCCTTGTGTGTGCTGCTTCTTGTGCATGTATATGAACACATCTCATGATGAGAGGCTGGAATAATGCCACTGCATGCGACTCCGTGACAGCTTGGACACGCCTGGTGCTTCCCATCATGCTTCTCACGTTCCTTCTCCTTCATCTCTACCTAATTAACAATCCATGCAGCCTAACACGCTATGCTGTGACCTTGCCTGCTCCACTGCAGCCTCCGCATGGAAACTGTGGCCCGTACGGTACCGTGAGGACATGGTCCAGTCAGGCGGAATATTGATTCGAAGCAGATATTGATCGCATATACAACACTCCATTAACTTCACTTGCATGAACATGATGCAAGTTAACACCTCGTGCCCGCTGATATGAGTACTGCTTGTGCACACTTTCACAGTTTTGCACCAGTGTGTGGCTACCAGTGAGTGTCTGTTATGAGTGGTTACATTCCTGATTGGCTTGGTTGGTGAATGATTCAATGACTCTTATTATGCTTTATTAAAATTAGCGTTTTGTGTAGAGATACTTTCTCCCACATTATCATTATGTGATTCACTGCTGGTTTACCTTTGATTCTGGTCTCTTCTTTTTGTCTCTGAATGAGATGCAGTTGCTGATACTCACTTGTTCTGGTGTTTGGAGCCCTGCAGATGTGCATGGTATTGTGCCACAGAGTTGAGTGTAACACTGCAGACCTCACATGTGTGACTCCGCTTCAGGCCTAAGAGCATACATAAATATAAACATCTATTTGACTAACTATGTTGATTTCAACAGCAAATGCCCTCAAATCTTGTCTGAGGGTATAATGCCCTATTTTGACAAACACCTACAGACAGCTAAAACCCTGAGAATTTGACCATTTCTTCACCGTGCATGAATTACATGGATAAATTAGCATATAGCCTGAGCACAGCACATTGCCAATCTTTCTCAAGCAAAATAAATAACATAATGGTGAATTGATGAACATGTCTTATTTGTTCTAAAATCAAAAGAAAAAAGAAATTCAATTAGATTTTTCTTAAAGAAAAATAAAGGGCCACTTTAAGGACCATTTAAGGCAAAAAAAAAATGTTACATAGCTGTCTGATAATTTTGTATATTTATATGCATTTATGTATTTAAAATACATATGCAGGATATATGCAAACTTAAACTTCAGTAGTTGTGCTACCTTATAGATACAGTGTGTGTATACATATATATATATATATATATATATAGACAGGTTTTTAATATAATATTAAAAACATATATTTTTGTATTATTTTATATATATATATATATATATATATATCATATTAAAAATGTGTTTTTTATTATTTTAACTTGTTATTTTTATATGTTTATATATTATATTAACTTGTTATTTATTATATAAATGTATAAACTTTCTATAATTTTTTTTGTCTAAAATTATCCTTAAAATATGTACATAGCAATGAGAATCACCACTGAGATGACAAATTACAAAAAATCATAATCATAATCAGTTTTTACTCTCATTAACATAACATAAATTTTACTCTCTTTTTTTTTTGTCTAAAATGATCTTTGAAAATGTGTACATACTAATGAGAATAACCATTGAGGCTAATGAAAATTACCAAAAAGAAAATATGCATAATTCTCAAAAAAAATTACGTTAAATAAATAATCCCAATAGTCCTACAAATAAGTGTAATTTTCTTTATGCAAAATATAATATTAAAGTAATACTAAAATATAAAATGCTTTTTTTTAATTTTTGGAGTAAATTATGCCTTGGACTAGTTTTCGTGTCATTTACTCGTATATAGTGCAGACATCCCTGCTCCAGTAAACAGATTATGCATGAAACCAAATATATATTCCTCCTTCACACATAAACATAAGCTTATGTCCACATATGACTCATATATTCAAACAGCATGTCTGTTTGTGTAACCATCTAGTGCATGATGTGATTTACTATTGGGAGATGGGTGGTGTTAAATGACCCTTACATATGCCATATGACCCTTGCATATGCCACAAAGCAAGCACCTAGTCTGTTTAAACAACGGGAATCCTTTGTTATCCCAGTATCCGGGCAATCAGGCCAGATAATGAATGGAGGCTCATCTAGATGCCTCATCAATAACATTTACCACGGATCTATAGCCACAGATTACGTTGGCCTCGTCTTTGCAACCACAGCACCTCAGCTTTTCTTTGGCATTGTGCACATTCAGTGATTAAACACACATAACAGAAGGGGCCGTGAAACACGCTGATAAGTCGTATCCTCCCCCAGCTCTGTCTTCCTACACCAAATCTGTTCTCCGCCTCTAACTAAGACAGACCAGTAAATAATAAGCTTGTGTGAAGCTCGGAAAATCAGTCGCTGGCTTCCTGTGAGGTGGGAAGTCTGATGAAAATGCTATAAAAATGGGATTCGATTACCGCTGAACACTGATTTGGCACCCTGCTGTTAGCGCCGCAAACTTTTTTTAGTTAACGACAGAACGGCATTATCACAGACAATTGCTAATGAGCAAAAATAGCATGTCAAATACTATTCTACGTTTGTAGTCATAGACTAATATTACACGTCACATAAATAGAGCATATTCAATCCAGAGAGTGCTTGTACTATTATTGGTGAGTGAAATGCTGGGAAGCCTTAATGAAAACTGCAGCAATGAGTCATATTTATGAGTCACAAGCGTGACGTGAGGGACAGGACACTTTTCAATCTGAATCTAAATCCAACATTTGTCCAAACGGCAGCTGGTACGCACCTCCCACGAAGTGGTTTCTAGTCCCTCTATGAGTCAAAACTCACCAACGAGGTGGCTTTGTTGTCTGCAACCTCCGCCATCGTCGGTTTGTTTGGCGAGCAAAGATCTTGTGCTCTGGGAGGTTCTTTGTCGCGCCATTAATTACCTATTGATAACTGCCTCGAACGAAAGCTCTTTAGCTAGCTGCTGAATAATGCAAAACTTTAATGAAATGCCTGCTTGCGAAAAGACTCTCAGAGCATTAAAATGCCTCTACTGAGGCCTGTAAAACAGAATGGTCAATGCTAAAATGATATCTGTGCTTAAACGGTGGCATTTACGGTGGGGTTATTCATGAGTCATTACCACAAACTAATGAAAACAAACATTGTTACAATTGAATGTGCTGTTTTAAAGAGACAGTACACCCAGAAATTAAAGCTCTGTCATCATTTGCTCAGCCTCATTTTGTTCTAAACCCTTAAGAGTTTCATTTTTTTCTGCAGAACAAAAAATAAGTCACCCTTGTATGTGAAATACAAGTTTTTAAAGGGATAGTTCGCCCAAAAATGAAAATTTCTTTCATTAATTACCTCATGTCGTTCCAAACTCGTAAAACCTTTGTTCATCTTCGGAACAATAATTAAGATATTTTTGATGCATTCCGAGAGCTCTCTGACCCTCCCATAGCTAGCAAGGATCCTAACACGATTAAGGCTCAGAAACGTAGCAAGGAGATCACTAAAATAGTCCATGTGACATCAGTGGTTCAACCGTAATGTTATAAAGCTACGAGAATACTTTTTGTGCGCAAAGAAAACAAAAATAACGACTTTATTCAACAATTCGTCTCCTCCGCGTCACCCTATAGCGCCATTTTGGAGAGTATCACATACGTAAACAACGTACGCAAGGTAAACAAAGCGTAAACAACGTAAACAGCATATCCGCGTACAGTGCTGCTGATACAGAACAGCATACATTTTTTATGTATGTGAAACTCTCCAAAATGTTACAGGTGAGTAAATCATGGCATAATTTTCTTTTTTGGGTGAACTATCCCTTTAATGCCCTGAAATGCTGGTATTCATGCTCCAATAAACAGATTATGCATGAAACCAAATATATGTTCGTTCCAACACAAAACAGTCACCCTTGTATATGAAATACAATTAAATGTTAAACTTTAAAAAAGCATGCAAAAGTATCATAAAAGTGGTGCAAACAACTGCACTATATTCCAAGTCTTTTGAAGTCATACGCATCTTTGTGTGATGAACAATGACATTTTGAAAATTCGACTGAAAATTCTGATTGCATTAATTGTGGTAATCGGGTCCTATTAAAAGAATAATTTATAGTGGTATATCAAACGATTCACTCAAAAGATCCAATTCAAAAAAACAATCTGTTCACTAATCTAGATTTTTTTGAATAATGACTTCTTTGCTTTATTTTTATTACTTTATTTAGATTTTAAAAAAGTCAAACACTATGTATGTGTTTGGAACAACTTAAGCGCGAGTAAATGATAACAGAATCACTTTTAATTCATGTTTGGGTAAACTATCCCTATCTATGTTTTGCCCATTCCTCTCAGAACATACCGTTTAGATCATCTTCGTCCTCCAGACTTTTACCCAGTTGTGCGAGGAGGTTAGCTTGGGCTGCGTTTTTTTTGTGCTTCTTTCCGTCGTAGTGCTGTCTGGCCATGCCGGGGTTGTTGAACCAGGCCTTACACATTTGGCAGTAGCGGTGTGAGAGTCTGCCATGAATAGAAGGACTTCCCGGCGAGTCTTCAGTCACCATATGCTCTGAATTGGCTGTCACCTCTGTAAAGAGAGGGTATAACAGACTTAGTATACTTAGTGTACCATACATTAATTACCAAACAGGCTACAGGTAAAAGCTATTAATGTGAAAACACCTGAGAAATTGGGCTTTGGCATTCATACAGAAGATGCATTATATGATCTTGCCCTCCATTCCTGCCCATTAATTTTCAACATTTTGAAGAAAATTTTTTTTAAAAAGCAAACAAAAGAAATAAAAAAAGGGAAATATTTTTAGAAAAAAAAAATTGTGCAACATACCAACACAAGTTAACAGCCAGCCTTAAAGTTAAAATGGCAAATCCATTTTTCATTTTATTTACCAATATCCAGTCCAACACAGCAGGTGTGTGACAGCATTAATAACACATATTAGAATTTCCAAGACATGTGTACGTGATTCAATTGACATATTTTGCTTGCGGTCTGTCTCACCTGTCAAAGTATGGGGCACAGGCTCACGTCAGTTTGAAGTATTTCATGGGTAAAGGGCACAAATTAGGAACATGGGATGTCCCCTGTGGCTGCAGCTTAATAAGATGCATTCTGAATCTCATGACACTAATATGATGAATATGGTTCATAAACAGACGGGAGGTAATTTGTCTCACACTAGCAGGTCTAAGCTTGTGTTTTCCTTGTCTGTTTTTGAGAAGTGAATTTTTATTACAAAGTCGAGAACAAGGGATGTTTTCACCCGTCTAATTATACTCCGTTACATAGTAAACGACAAACAAGAGACTACACTGACAGCAAGCCCACATCATAACGTATAAAATAGGAACGGTGGATGGCACAAATGGGGCGTCTCTTGGCTCTTCCATGGTTTTTCAAGTGGAGGATAGATGACACTGGCAGCTCTACGTGTGTATTTATAGAAGGTATCAAAATAACTAGATAATATGAAGCATTCTTTTTCCTTTTTTTCTTCTTCCTTCCATCTCAATTTTCATCCAATTCCCTGAGGTATTTGAATAGAGGGTTGTTTTCAGTATAACACATAATTAGAGTGTGATATGAAACTCTACCGTGACAAATACAGTGGCCTCAAAGTCTGAGACCACAAGTGAAAATGTTTAGCATTTTTTCCCCAATTTGATATACAAATGTTTTTATTGCAAATTATGGTATCAGCATAACAAATCGAGAATGAGTATTTCATCTGTTTGAACATTTCTCTGCCATTTTCAAAAATGCTTTCTGGATGTACTGTGATAAGCAGCAAAAGAGAACACTTAAGCTCACTGAAGACAAGTCAACAGTCAGCGATTAAATAAGAATAAGAAACTAATTGAAAGCAATAGGTCCAAACAACTACAAACAAATAAATAAGAAATGCTACATTCAATGTATAAAAAAAACACTGCATATTCTTCACTGTGTAAATTAAATATATTTCTTATTATAGTTACAAAAATGATTTAGTCAGGAGCAGTAAGAGATTTTCTCTCTTTTGTTGTTTGATTAGCATTAATGATAGACAGCAGGAATATTAGACTGCTATAACTTTAAGAGCTGCCCGGATCCAATATCCTGTTACACATGTGTTTTCTTTTTCAGCTGTTTGCTTTTATTTAAAACATAAATTACTGTGTTTACAATGATACTTGCAAAGACGGGCAATTTGACACATCCAAGTGTGTGTATTTAACCATTCAAGGCCAATAAAGTGGCAAAAATAATACTCCCGTGCCATATGAGCACCAACTTCACATGCGCACGCCTCTCTGACAGGACTCAGAAACAGTCTCTCAGACAGCGCGCACACATAGAGAAATTAGTTGTTTTTTTTGGCTAGTATTAGTTTTTTGTGATATTGACACTAGTGACAAGAATTATGAATTTTCTATAGTATCAAAAATTTTGAAAAAAAACAACAACTATATTGTGATATACTGTATATCATTACCGTGAAATAAAACTACTCATATCGTCATACAAGATTTTGGTCATATTGCCCACCCCTACTGAAGACTGGAGTAATGTAAGGAATGGAGTAATCACAGGAATAAATTACAGTTTAAAATATATTTAAATAGAAAACAGTTATTTTATATTTCACAGTAATTCGTTTTTCATTGTATTTCAATAAAATCTTGATTTTACTTTTTGACTTCTTTCAAAAATTTGAAAAAAAACTTGCCAACTTTTAAACGTTAGAGTCCTGTGTTTACTGTAAAAAGGTGCAGGTGCTACAGATCAACATAAATCCATAAATCCATGCGTTATCATTTGAAGCTTTCATAATATCTTATTTAAACTAGCTTTACAGTAATTGTGTAGATCTGCAGTGCAGCGGTTTGGTCAGTTACTTGATAATAGCAATGACACTCAAGGATAATTTAATCAAATTATATCCTCTTCTGTATTCCAGCCTATCAGACCATTTAATCTAGGTCTTTTACACCTTATCATTATTATCATAGATAAAGAGTTATATAAGGAGAAACAACAACCTTTTTAGCTCATAACATGAAAAATCACCATCAAGATCTTTATGATGGTGGAAGCAGCCACATAGCAACTATCCGACTGTAACCGAATAATGCTGAGCTACTACTATGACTGCTGAACAAACAACAAAAGGACAGTTTCTTGAACCCTATTATGGTTACTAATAGTTTTTAATGGTGTTGCTTAGTGATGCTTGCTATTTGGACAAACACTTTAAAAAGTCAGCATGTAACTCGTCCCGCACCATTTGTGCTGTGGACATAAAGGCACATTAAATCATACAAGTTTGTTGGTGAGAGCTGCGCTATTACTTTCTAAGCGACTGCATATATGATTGCTGCCTGGTGGATGATAAAACAGGCTTAACTAACTATTTTGCAGAAAATGTACAAATCTAGTCTTGTGAATGGATTTTACCTCATGTATTTCCGTCATTACCAACATAGTTCAACGATTCAGTGTTTCCTAAAACCATAGTTCAAACGAACATTCGCAAACAGCATGACGAAAGAGGAACCTGCGATGAATCAAACATCAAATAAAGCAAAACGACAAGGAACAAAAAATAATAGTAGTCATCGGCTGCCATGTTTGTTACAGCAGCCTCTCAGAGATCTCGAATCGATGAATTAGTAGAAGCTACTACTCCACCGGTTCTATATTGTTGATCCAACGCGGATCAAACAACGAAGGTGCGACCATGTTTGGGAAACAGTCATGACTAGCTAGCTAGTTGGTGGTTAAGCAGTGAGTTACATTGTTGTACGGGAAACCCCATATTAACTTCTCTTTTATTTGATCTGTTTCAGCATATACAGTGCTGCTTGAAAGTTTGTGAACTCCTTGCAGAATCTGTGAAAATGTGAGTAATTTTAACAAAATAAGAGAGATCATACAAAATGCTTGTTATTTTTTATTTAGTACTGGCTTGAGTAAGATATTTTACATAAAAGATGTTTACATTTAGTCCACAAGACACAAAAATAGTTGAAAATTAAAATAACCCCCTTCAAAAGTTTGGGAACCCTTGGTTCTTAATACTGTGGGTGTGTTTACCTGGATGATCTACGACGGTTTTTTTGTTTTGTGAGGGTTGTTCATGAGTCCCTTGTTTGTTCTGAACAGTTAAACTGCCTGCTGTTCTTCAGAAAAATCCTCCATGTCCTGCAGATACTTCAGTTTTCCAGCATCTTTTGCATATTTGAACCCTTTCCAGCAGTGACTGTATGTTCTTAATACTGTGGGTGTGTTTACCTGGATGATCTACGACGGTTTTTTTGTTTTGTGAGGGTTGTTCATGAGTCCCTTGTTTGTTCTGAACAGTTAAACTGCCTGCTGTTCTTCAGAAAAATCCTCCATGTCCTGCAGATACTTCAGTTTTCCAGCATCTTTTGCATATTTGACCCCTTTCCAGCAGTGACTGTATGATTTTGAGATCCATCTTTTCACACTGAGGACAACTGAGGGACTCAAACACAACTATTAAAAAAGGTTCAAACATTCACTGATGCTCCAGAAGGAAACACGATGCATTAAGAGAAAACATTTGAACAGGATGAAGATGTCCCGATTTTTCTTATTTTGTAGAAATATATATTTTTTCCATTTAGTACTGCCCTTCAGAACAACAGAAGATACTTGCATGTTTCCCGGAAGACAAATTAAGTACAATTTACCTTGATCTTCAAATTCATGCATCGTGTTTCCTTCTGGAGCATCAGTGAATGTTTGAACCTTTTTTAATAGTTGTGTTGAGTTGTGTTCACACTGAGTCCCTCAATTGTCCTCAGTGTGATGGATCAATTGGATCTCAAAATCATACAGTCACTGGAAAGGGTTCAAATATGCTGGAAACTGAAGAATCTGCAGGACATGGCGGATTTTTCTGAACAACAGTGCTCAGTTTAACTGTTCAGAACAAACATGGGACTCATGAACAACCATCACAAAACAAAAAAACAGTCATAGATCATCCAGGTAACTACACACAGTATTAAGAACCAAGGGTTCCCAAACTTTTGAAGGGGGTTATTTTAATTTTCAGCTATTTTTTTGTCTTGTGGACAATATGTAAAATATCTTACTCGGGACAGTACTAAATAAAAAATAACAAGCATTTTGTATGATCTCTCTTATTTTGTTAAAATTACTCACATTTTCACAGATTCTGCAAGGAGTTCACAAACTTTCAAGCATACTGTATATGCAGTCATTCTGGATTGTTTTCTGTGCTCTTTCCGTTTTTTCTTTTTTGGGTCATTTTGCACCCTCAGGTGTCTTAGCCACGCGCAATTATGCATGCTAAGTGAGTCAGTGATGTGTTGTTCCTGCTACAGGCCCTGCTCTTATCATAAACATGCCACAAGCGACAGCCTTGAGAACATAAACCTCTAATATGCCTAATGCACTCACATCTGAATGAATAAAAAACAGGACATCCAGCTGCAGTTGCAAGTCCAAGTTTTTTTTACATTTTGTGAAAATGTAAGTAGTGCGTGCCCATGCAAAAGTTCCCGCCATCACACTATGGTGTTGTAGGTAGTTGC